GCTCCAAGACAGCCCCAAGATGTGCCAACAAGGACCCCGATGGGCCCAGGACGGCCTACGGACGCGCCCATGAGGGGCCCACGACGAACCAAGACGGCCTCATCACGGCAAACGGCGCCCTCAAGACGGGCCTAGACGGCTCCAAGACGGCCTTTTGAGGGAGCCAACACGGCCCCACACCCTTCGGGCGAACACTTGGGGGGGCTGGGAGCTTGCGACAAGTCTCCCGCATTCATTGTCCTGCCCCATTCTGTTCGCCTGGAGGCCTCCTCCAACCCTGTGGGCGAACAAGAGGAAACCCAGCGGGCCGCCAAACCTGGGGCCCGTGGGCCCCGCGCCGCTTGGGCAGAAGACGAACGCCAGGTCTGACAGGCCAGCTACCACCCCCAGTTGCCCGATATGCTGTGCCATTATGTTCCCCCAGGGGCCTTGGCAAATTCTTCGGGCCAACCAGACCGGACCCCTGGGACAGCAGCCAATTGATATGACCCAGGCACCTCTCCGCACTCTTCGGACCACAGACCCTCTGGGCGATCAGAATGGGACTTGCCGAACAAACCCTCCCGTTGGCGGCGATGCGACTGGATCGCACCATCAAGGCGTGCCTGGAGGTGATGGCCGACCCAACAGCGGCTTCTGTTGAGAATTTACTGAATTGCAATTTTTCTTTAAGCTCTCTTGGGCCCTCCCTGTAGATCCTTGCGAGCCTCCCCGGCGCTTTCGGTGGTTTTCCCCGATGGCCTCCCGAACCCTTCCCCAGGCGTTCCTGAGACGCCTCAGATGGGCTTCGACTTCGACGCACATCCCCGAGAGACTTCGAAACTGCCCTCAATAGGAGGGGAGTGAACGAGCAGTGCGCCGGGGCCAAGCTGCTGGAGCGCTGCAAGAGCTCGGACACGAAGGCGCGGTCTCGCTGCCGCCGTCCGAGCCGCCGCCGTGTTTGTGGATATTCTTTACGCTTCGCGTGTCCCCACCAGCCCATCTCACAGCAGCAACTCTCGCGTCTCGCGAAGCATGCCGACAGTCGTGTTTTTCAGGCGTGTGTCCGCTTGGCCCCGCATATCTCCCCTGTTCCTCCTTCCCCCCGCCTCCTTGTACATCCTCCTTGTGGGGGGAGCGGGAGAAGGACGAGGCGGAGGAGGAGGGAGAGAAAGCGCTCCTCGTGGTTTGAGTCGTTTGGGGATTCTCGTCCTGGTGTGAGTCGTTCGGGCCCTTCTTCCTGGTGTGACTCGTTCGGGCTCCTCGTGGTGTGAGTCGTTCGGGCTCTTCGTCGTGGTGTGAGTCGTTCGGGCTCCTCGTGGTGTGAGTCGTTCGGGCGCCTCGTCCTGGTGTGAGTCGTTCGGGCCCCTCCTTATGGTGTGAGTCGTTCGGGCTCTTCGTGGTGCGAGTCGTTCGGGCCCCTCGTCCTGGTGTGAGTCGTTCGGGCTCCTCGTGGGGCCTCTTGGGGGCCTCTTGGAGGCTCTTGGGGCATCTTCGGGGCCTCTTGGGGGCCTCTTGGGGGCCTCTTGGGGGCCTCTTGGGGCGTCTTGGGGCCTCTTGGGGGCCTCTTGGGGGCCTCTTGGGGGCCTCTTGGGGCCTCTTGGGGGCCTCTTTGGGGCCCCTTGGAGGCCTCTTGGGAGCCTCCTGGGGGCCTCTTGGGGCCAGCTTGGGGCCTCTTGCGACCTCCTCAGAAGCGTAAATGACCGCTGCCCCCTGAGAAGGACAAAATGAGCTCAAAACCTGCGTAAAATCAATGATTTTGCTATGAAGGAAGAGGAGCGCGGCCCCCTCAGGAGGCCAAAATGGGGCCCAAACCCTAGTAAAATCAATGTTTTTTGCTTCCAAGACGGTCTGAGGCGCCAAACGGTCCCCCCCCCCTGGGGGCTGAACGAGCAGTGCGCCGGGGCCAAGCTGCTGCAGCGCTGCAAGAGCTCGGACACGAAGGCGCGGTCTGGCTGCGTACCAGAAGGGCGCAGGATCAAGTGACCAATAATCGCCCCGGGCTGGCCCCGGGCCGCCCCGGGCCGCCCAGGCAGGCCCCAGGACATGTCGAGAGGGCCCCCAGAAGCCCCCAAGACGGCCCCGGAGAGCCCCGGCACGCTTAAAGATGGGCCCAAGACGCCCGAGATTCGCCCCAGGCGGCCCAAGAGGCGTCCAAGACGCCCGAAGAGGCCTCCCAAGAGGCCTCCCAAGAGGGCCCCGAGCGACAGAAATCGTCGATTTCTAGTGTGTTTTTCGATGTTTTCGGCCTCCTCGCCTCGTCGGCTTCCCGACGCTCCAAGACGGCCCAAGAAGCCCCCCCGACCGCTCCAAGACGGCCGAAGAGGACCCCAAGAGAGCCCCAAGACGGGCCAGGAGGGCCCCCAGACGGTCCCAAGACGCCCCAGGACGGCCCCAGGACGGCCCAGGAGGCGCCCAAGACGGCCCAAGAGGCACCCAAGACGACCCCAGGAGCGGCCCAAGACGGCCCACGACAGCCCAAGAGGCGCCGAGGCGGGTCTCAGACGGCCCCAAGACGGCCCAAGAGGCACCCAAGACGGCCCGAGAGGGCCCTAAGAGCCCTCCCGGGAGGCCCAAACGAAGGCCGAAGAGGCTCCGAAACGGCCCCCACGAAGCCTTCAGTGCCTTCAGAATTCCCTCCAGGAGCGGGGGAGCGGACGAGAGGCGACAGGCATATCGCAGGCAAAAACGCCCCAAGAGATCCCCAAACGGCACCCACGAAGCCCTAAGTGGCTTCAGAATTGCTTCCAGGAGGGGGGGGGCGGACGAGAGGCGACCGGCATATCGAAGGCACAAAAGAACAATGTTGGACGCTCCGAGGGCCTTCGATGTTTCTCCGTTGGGGAGAGTCGTCGTAGGATCGACGATTGCCGACCGAGGGCAGCGAATCCAGTGGAGGCCCAAGAGGCCCCCAGGAGCCCAAAAGAGATCCCCAAGAGGTGCCACGGGGCTTAAAAACTGCTTCGAAGCGAGGGGGGCGGACGAGGGGACCGCCTCAGGAGGTTTTGGACGGTTTTGGGCCTCAAAATCGTCCGCTTTACGACGGTTTTGGAAGGATTTTGGCCTTCTCGCCTTTTCCGCTTTCCGACGCTCGAAGACGGCCCAAGAGGCCTCCAAGAGCGCCCCAGAACGGCCCAAGAGGTTTCCAAGAGCGCCCCAAGACAGCCCAAGAGGGCCCCAAGACGACCCAAGAGACGCTCAAGACGGCCCACGAGGGCCCGAAGACAGGCCCAAGAGGGGGCCAAGAGGGGGACCACGGACCGAAAATCCGAGCCTTCCGCCCCAAGAGGGCGCCAGGAGGCCCAAACAGGCCCCCAAGAGGCCCCAAGGGGCCGCCAAGAATCCCCCGAAGAGGCCCCAGGAGGCTCCCAAGGAGCCCAAACGAGGCCCCTACAGAGGCCCCAACAGCTTCCAAAATGGCCCCGAAGAGGCCTCGAGCCCGCCTCCGAGCTTCCTCGCCGCGAGGGTGCCAACACGGCCCCAGACCGGCCCAGGACGGCCCAAGGCGCGCTCAAGACGGCCCAAGACGATTCCAAGACGGTCCCAGGAGGGTGCGCCCAGGACGGCCCAAGGACGCGCCCGTTCGGGGCCTCAAGACGGGCCAAGATGGCAAGAGAGTCCCAGCTGGCAAAAATCGTTAATTTTCCATTGTTTACTGTTACACCCTTTGCGTTTCCCGCCGTTTCGGCGGTCCGATGCACCAAGAGGCCCCAGAAAGTCCCAGGAGGGTCCGAGGAACCGCCCAGGAAGGCCCCAAGACGGGCCAAGACGGACCCAGCACAACCCAAGGCGCGCTGCGACGGCTCAAGACGGCTCCAAGACAGCCCCAAGAGGGTGCCAACACGGCCCCTGCTGGGCCCAGGACGGCCCAAGGAGGCGCACAGGAGGGGCCCAAGACGACTCCAAGGCGGCCTCCTCACGGTCCCAGACGGCTCCAAGACAGCCCCACGAGGACCCCGATGGGCCCAGGACGGCCTACGGACGCGCCCATGAGGGGCCCACGACGAACCAAGACGGCCCCATCAGGGCAAACGGCGCCCTCAAGACGGGCCTAGACGGCTCCAAGACGGCCCTTTGAGGGAGCCAACGCGGCCCCACACCCTTCGGGCGCACACTTGGGGGGGCTGGGAGCTTGCGACAAGTCTCCCACATTCATTGTCCTGCCCCATTCTGTTCGCCTGGAGGCCTCCTCCAACCCTGTGGGCGAACAAGAGGAATCCCAGCGGGACGCCAACCCTGGGGCCCGTGGGCCCCGCGCCGCTTGGGCAGAAGACGAACGCCGGGTCTGACAGGCCAGCTACCGCCCCCCTTTGCCCGATATGCTGTGCCATTCTGTTCCCCCAGGGGCCTACTCTTCGGGCCAAGCAGACCGGACCCCTGTGACAGCAGCCAATTGATATGACCCTGGGACCTCTCCGCATTCTTCGGACGAGCATCTGGGGGGCCCAGGAGATTCGGACATGTCTTCCCCATTCCTTGCCCTGTCCCGTTCTGTTCGCCCGAAGGCCTCCACAGACCCTCTGGGCGAACAGAATGGGACATGGCGAACAAACCCTCCCGTTGGCGGTGATGCGACTGGATCGCACCATCAAGGCGCGCCCGGAGGTGATGGCCGACCCAACAGCGGTTTCTCTAAAGAGCTCACTGGATTTCAAATTTTCTTGAAGCTCTCTTGGGCCCTCCCTGTAGATCCTTGCGAGCCTCCCCGGCGCTTTCGGTGGCTTTCCCCGATGGCCTCCCGAGCCCTTCCCCGAGCGCTCCTGAGACGCCTCAGATGGGCTTCGACTTCGACGCACATCCCCGAGAGACTTCGAAACTGTCCTCAATAGGAGGGGGGTGAACGAGCAGTGCGCTGGGCCAAGCTGCTGCAGCGCTGCAAGAGCTCGGACACGAAGGCGCGGTCTCGCTGCCGCCGCCCGAGCCGCCGCCGTGTTTGTAGATTTTCGGTACAATCTGCGCCGTTCCTCCGAGAACCATTCCAGAAAGATGTCATGGACGGAGTCCACGGGTCAGCCCTAGTCAGCTACAACGCTGGGATCAGCGCGTGCGAGAAGGGCGGGCACTGGCAGCCGGCGCTAACGCTGCTGAGCGAGATGTGGGAGGCGAAGGTGGAACCCGACGTCATCTGTACTACACTGCTGGGCACAGTGCGTGCGAGAAGGGTTTCTGCATCCAGTACTCTCCTGCGGCTCCGAGGGCGCCCGACTGCCTCGCGACGGCTCCGACACGTTCCAGAGGCCGCGCCGACGGCCCCAAGACGGCCCCGAACCGATCCATTGGGCGCCCCGACGGCCCCCAAGACGGCTCCGAGCCGCTCCACAGGCCACCCCGACGGCCCACGGGACGCGCCGAGCCGCTTCCGAGGCCGCTCCGACGGCCCCCAGGGCCCCCAGGGGCAGGCCAGGAGCTTCCAAAGACGGCCCTCGAGGATTCTCCAGGACACCCTCGAAACGCAAGAATCGGCCCGTTCCCGTCGGACTTCTAACATGCTTGGCATTCTCAGGTTTTTTGTCTCCGACGCGCCCGCGACGGCCACAGAGCCTCCCAAGATCGGCCGCAGATGCCACCCAGGATGGCCCAAGAGGCGCCCAAGACAGCTCCAGAGGCTCCCAAGACAGCCCCAAAGACGGTCCGAAACGACCCGAACACGGCCCAATGGGCGCCCCTAAGACGGCCAGCGACGGCCCCAAGGCGGCCCAGAAGGCACCCTAGAAGGCCCAAGACGGTTCCGAGACAGCCCAAACAGCACCGACGAGAGCCCAAGAGGGCCCCAAGAGGCCCCTTCGAAGCCGAAACGAAGGCCCAAGAGGCGCCCAAGAGGTCCTAAGTGGCTACAGAATTCCCTCCGACAGAGGGGGCGGGCGAGAGCTGAAAGGCAGAACGCAGGCCCCAACAGCCGTTTTCGACGCTCCGAGGGTCTGCGAATGGCGAGCATCGAGGCAAGAAGGCGGATGAAGGAGGAGAAGGAGGAGGAGGAGGAGAAGGAGGAGAAGGAGGAGGAGGAAAAGGAGGAGAAGGAGGAGGAGGAGGAGAGGAGGAGGAGGAGGAGGCGGAGGCGGAGGGGCAGGAGCAGGAGGAGGAGGAGGAGGGGGAGGAGGAGGAGGAGGAGGACGAGGAGGAGGAGGAGGAGGAGGAGGAAGAGGAGGAGGAGGAGGAGGAGAAGAAGAAGAAGAAGGAAACCCGAGAAGGCCCAGAAGAGAGCCTCATGAAGGTCCAGATGACATACCGAGCTTTGAACATGGCCCCAAGACGGCCCAGGAGGAGCCCAGACGGCCCAAGAGGGTTCCAAAAGGTCCCGAAGGGGCCACTAGAGAACCCGAGAGTCCCTTACCCCCCCAAGAGGCCCAAAGAGGCTTCAAAACTGCCTCCAAGTTAGAGGGCCCAGCGCTCCTGACACGCCCGAGAGATGGACTTCGACTTCGACGCACATCCCCGAGAGACTTCCAAACCTGCCCTCAATAGGAGGGGGTCGAACGAGCCGCGCGCCGGGGCTAAGCTGCTGGAGGGCTGCAAGAGCTCGGACAGGAAGGCGCGGTCTCGCTGCCGCCGCCCCGGCCGCCGCCGTGCTTACGGTAGGTCCGCGTCGTGTCGACCAGCGGCGACCCCGTCGCGGACGTTCAGGGTTGAACGCCGCCAGTGGCCCAGAGTCGGCCTACATGTAACGATCGGGCAATCGAAAAGCCGCCGATCGTTCAAAGTTGAAGGAACCACGCGGTGTCAGAAACCAACGCCGGGGTCGGCACGACACGAACTTGCCGTATAGGTTTTCGGTACAATCTCCGCCGTTCCTCGGAGAACCATTCCAGAAAGATGTCGTGGACGGGGTCCACGGGTCAGCCCTAGTCAGCTACAGCGCTGGGATCAGCGCGTGCGAGAAAGGCGAGCAGTGGGAGCGGGCGCTTGCGCTGCTGAGCGAGATGCGGGAGGCGAAGCTGGAGCCCGACGTCATCAGCTACAGCGCTGGGATCAGCGCCTACGAGAAAGGCGACCAGTGGGAGCGGGCGCTTGCGCTGCTGAGCGAGATGCGGGAGGCGAAGCTGGAGCCCGACGTCATCAGCTACAGCGCTGGGATCAGCGCGTGCGAGAAAGGCGAGCAGTGGCAGCGGGCGCTTGCGCTGCTGAGCGGGATGTGGGAGGCGAAGCTGGATCCCAACGTCGTCAGCTACAGCGCTGGGATCAGCGCGTGCGAGAAAGGCGAGCAGTGGCAGCGGGCGCTGGCGCTGCTGAGCGAGATGTGGGAGGTGAAGCTGGAGCCCGACGTCACCTCTTCTACAGTGCAGCGCCTCCTGCATGCCAGAAGGGCTTTTGTCAAAATGGGGGTCTCCGGGGCTCTGGCAGGCCCACGCCAAACAAAGAGGGCCCAGACTTTCCAGGACGGCCCGAGAGGGCCTCGAGAAGGTCGTCAACATGGCCTACAAACAACCTCCAACAGGGCCCCCAGGAGGGCCCCGGGGCAGCCCGAGACGGCCGCAAGACGGCCGAGGAGGCCCCCCTCCGGCCCATGGCAGCTCTAAGACGAGCCCAAGGAGAGCCCCAACAGGGGGAGCTCGAAGTGATACTCCGCGCCCTCCGCCCCAAGAAGATGAGACCCCCGAGGCTGCCAGCGGGCCCCCAAGAGGACCCGCAGAAGTCCCAGGAGGCCTCGGGGGCCCGAGTCAGGCCCCAAGTGGCCCGCAGAGGCCTCAAGACGCCGCCAACGCGGCCTCCCGAGAGGCCTCCGAGGGAAGATCCCTTCAAGAGCTCTGGGGCCGCGCCGGCCACCCCAGAAACGCCCCATGAGCGACCCAAGAGGAAACCGGATGTTCGGCCGCACGCGCGCCGAGGCCATTGAGACAGTCGTGTGCTGGCCTCTTCCCTGCCTCCCCATCTCGCTCCTCGCTCCTCGCCGCCCTCTCCTCGCTCCCTTGCCTCTCTCTCTATCCTCGCTCCTGGCCCCTCTCTTCTTGCTCCACCTCGCTCCTCGCACCTCGGTCCTGGCCCCACGCCCCTTATTCTCTCTCTCTCTCTCTCTCTCCGCGGCGCCAGCACACAGCGGGAAACCGCGCACCTCGCGCCCGCCGCGTAGCACCGAATGTGACTGAAAGCGCGCTCCTCAGCACCCGCCCACTATGCCTCGCCGAAACCATCCCTCCATACCCGTTGTCCGATCTTGCTCCCCGGAAGCCTTCGGACGCCTCGTGCGACGAGCCACCCCTGGACACAACGAGTAAACGGCGAACACGGGTCTACGTTCGGCTTGCACCGCAGCTCCTCTTCCTGTGCCCTTCAGAACCTAGCAACCCCACAGCAACGCCCGAGCACACCAAACCCGACGCACGTGATCGCAAGCCGCATGCCACGCCGCACCGCAAGCAAACGCGCCGACATCTCCTCAGCATTCCACCGAGACCCGAGCCGAGCACACATCCGCGCACCCGCAGTGAACGCACGACAAGCACGCTCGCATGCTCGGCATGCTCACCCTCAAATTCTCCGCTCCCCGCATCCAACGCAGTCCGCCGGCCACCCGCCGAGGCGGTCGCCTAAATGTTCTGGCCTCTTCTTGGCCCCTCCCGCGCTCTACCCCTTTCCGAGGCGGTGGCCGACATCCCACGTGATCTTGGTTGCCACCGAGCAGAAGAGCAAGCGACAACACAGCCAAGCAGGCAAGCAGGGAAGCTGGCAGGCATGGGACTAGGAACGTTGGCCAGCATGCAAACATAAGCGCTTGGTACAGAGTCGCTCGGGCAGCAGGCTAGCAGCCATGCGCGCAGGGAAGCGATTTCCACCCCTGCGTGCGAATCAGCTGTCGTGGACGTAAGTCCACGGGTCCGGCGTAGTCAGCTACATCGCTGCGACCTGCGCGTGTGAGAGATGCGGCCAGTGGCGGCATGCGTTGTCGCTGCTCAGCGAGATGCGGGAGTGCAATGTGGAGACGAACGACATCAGTTACAATGTGTGCGCCACCGCGTATGAGAGGTCGTCTCGCAACTCGGCCGGATTTCCAGGCTATCTTGGGATCGGTCTTTCGCGTTTTCGCGTGTCTTGCGAAGCTCTGTGAGTGTGGGAAGTTGTTGGGCAACCATTGTGATTACGTGGGCGGGCATCCGCATTGTGAATTCGACCAGCTTCAATCGCGCAGGTAGTTGCTTCGGAAAACACTGCACGGATCCGCCCTGGTTGGCTTCAGCGGTGAGATCAGCATTTGTGCGAGAGAGAGAGAGAGGAAAAGAGGGAGAGAGAGAGAGAGGCGTGCAGTGAAAGCGGGCCATGCCGCTGCTCAGCGAGATGTCGACTGCGAAGTTGGAGCCGAATGGCGAAAGCTGCTCAGCGAGTTGCGGGATGTGATGTCGGAGCCCAAGGTCATCTATACCAACACTGAGCGAATCGCGTGCCAGATATGAACGCAGTGTACCAGATCCCGAGCCCCCGATACCGGGCCAGGATGCTCCAAGGACGTCCACGATGCCCGAATGGGCCCACAATTGCCCTAAGATGCCTCCGAGGGATCCCGAAGCCGCTTCTCAAGCCTCCCTCCGCGCTTGATGACCGCGCAAGAAACCACCGCAACTGGAAGTTCTGGGCGTTTGTTTTAATTATGTTGTTGGTTGTTTCTGCGCTGCGGCCGTCGTTGGCGAGCGTTTCTATTTTTTTGACGCAGTGCTTTCTCGAAAGGTTGCAGCCTGGCCACATGCAGCGCTCTTCCCGCGGAGATTCCCTTCAATGTGCTTTGTGCTTTCGCAAGGCCGAGTGGCGATCGCGCGCGGCGGCGCCCGTTTGCCACGACCCACGCGCGCGCTGATCAGGGGGGGGTCGCAGTAGTAAGAACGGGGTCGCAGTAGTAAGAACGTTTAAGGCGGCGCGGAACGCCCGTTTCGCCTGTTAGTTGCCCGTGTCTTGCATGGGCGGACTGCCCCCGCGCACGCGCGGCGTGATTGCGCTGACTTTGGGCGACGATGCGCTCGTTCATGCGAGCAGAGCGCCTCCGCGTGGCGAGGCCTCCTGTAGCGTCTAGCACGCCGCCAAGTCTGTTCCTTCTGGGCTCGCGGGCCCCCCGCCCCCCTTCCCTTCTTGGCGGCGCGCCAAATACTTGGAATGTCGGTCCTTTTGTTTTGTTCAGCGCTTGCGCTTGCCACGTTCTTTTGGGCGGTGATCATTTGTGGTTCGCCTCTCGCCCGGCCTCTTCCCTTTGCCCTGCCCCTCCCTCTTATCGCATTGTTTTTTGCTGGTTTTTCTCATTGTGCGCGTCTCAGAATGGAGAGCCCGGTCGGCTCGTGGAGGGCGCGACTTCGTTGACAAATCATGCGCTATGCGGTTGCGCGTAGAGAATCGGGCGCTTGCATTATGCCGATGTGTTCGCGGCAAGTCCCGCGCACTGCGATTGCGCATGTTTCGGCGCGGCGAGCTTTAGAGCGCCGTCAAGAAAACCGTACCACGCGAAAGATCGTCGCTCATACCTGTGCAATGGCCGCAACTTGTGACACGCTTATCCGCGTCGGTTCGGGGCGTACTCCTTCGTTTTCGTTGTCGCCCCCCTTCCTCCGTCCCCCCGTTGTGAGTCCCCTTATTTGTCTGCCTCATTGTGCGTCCGTTGTTTTTACCTCTCTTGGGTCTCTCGCGGGCTACTCTCAGGCCGCATCGGGCTCGTCGCGGGATCCTGTTGGGTTGTCTTGGATGCCTCTTGGGGGCACCCTTGGGCCGCTTTGGGCCTCTGTGGGACACTTCGGAGCCATCGTGAGCCGTCGCGAGCTGCCCGGGGGGTCTGCTGGTGCCGTCTGGGGTCGTGCCCGCCTCCATAGCGGTTCTTCGGGCTTGCTGGCGGATTAGCGGCTGCAGTGCATGCGCGGCGGTGACGGCATCAGAGTCGGCTTCGGGTCTCGGCAGAACAGTTGCGTCGCGTTTCCAAGCGGGGTGGCCAGTTGAGGGCCTCCGACGGCCACGATGGGACGTTTGAGGTGTGGGTCCCCCCGCTCCAAAAAAAACATGGTGGACGCAAGGAACCCTCGGGTTCCTTGATAAATCCCCCATGGGGGCTTCGATGGTCCCAAAGCACGAGACATCTGCCGATCCACGCAATTTAATCAGGAGTTCCCCGGGTCCCAAGTAAGGTCCTTACTTGGGTGCCCGGCGATCTCACAATTCAGGGCCTTATTTTGGCCCTCGGTGGTCGATGATCCCACAAGATTCAAAGATCTCACAGGTCCCACAGGTCCCACAAGGCCCACAAGGCCCACAGGTCTCGCAGGTCGCGCAGATCTAACAGTCCCCGCAGGTCCCACAGGTCTCGCAGGTCTCTCAGGTCTCGCAGGTCCCACTGGCCCCACAGTTCCCACAGGTCCCACGGGCCCCACGGGTCCCACAAGTCTCCCAAGTCCCACAGTTGTCGTAAGTCTCAAAGGTCCCGCATGTCCCACATATCCCACATCCCACAGGTCCCGCAGGCCCAAATCTTGCAGGCGCCGCAGGCGTCGCAAGTCTGGCAGGTCTCGCAGGCCCCACACGTACCATTGGCCTAACAAATCCCATGGCTCCCTCATGTCCCATGAATCCTAGAGGTCCCAAAGGTTCCACATGTCCCACCGCTCCCACAACGCCCACAGGTCCCACAGGCCCCGCAGGTTTCGCAGGTCTCGTTGATCCTGCAGGCCCCTCAGGTCTCACAGGACCCACCTGCCCCACAGGTCCCACAGTTCCAAGACGTCTCGCAGGCCACGCAATTCCCACTGGCCCCACTGATCCCACAGAACGCACATGTTCGACACGTCCCCCAGGTCCCACAAGTCCCACAGGCCCAGCGGGTCCCACAGGTCCCACAGGTCCCACAGGTCCCACAGGTCTCACAGGTCCCACAGGTCTCACGGGCCACAAGGTCCCACGGGTCCCACAGGTCCGACGGGTCCCACCGGTCCCACAAACCCCACGGGTCTCGCAAGTCTTGCAGGTCCCAAAGGTCCCACAGGTCCCACAGGCCCCACAGGCCCCACAGGTCTCACAGGTTTCTCAGGTCCCACAGGCCCCACAGGTCCCGCATTTCCCACAGACCCCACAAATCCCACAG